CTGATACAGCTATGTAAGGATTTGCTGAGGACGTCGTTAAATATCGTTTATTGGATAAAATGCATTGCTTCTGGAAGCATATAGATAGGAAAGTCTGGAGAAAAATGAGAGGTACTTAAGAAAATCAAATGTTCGAGAGATCGTATTCAAAATTTTTGAGAGGTAGTTTCAAGAAATATCATATTTATATAAAATGTTATAAATATCGATTTTTTACACTTGAGAGAAGCACCAAAAAAATTGTGAATAATTTTTTTAAGGTCATTTTGAACTTAATGAGCTGTAAAATTTCTGAATGTTCCTGCTTGTTATAAAATGCTAAATTTATTACTAATTATGAAGGAAATATTATGTTTTAAGGCACAGTTATTTAATTTTTTTATAATCATTCAACTAATTTATACTGATTAAAAATGAATTAATTTTTTGAATAAGGAAATGTAAAACATTTTAAAAGCAAAGTAAAAAAAATTAGAACATAAAATGCATTGCAATTTATTATGCATTCTCCAGAGAAGTATATTCATTGTTATAATTGTAAAATATGAGTGTAATCCTTCATTTACAAGCATAAAAAAAAATCAAGCTGTTAATTTTTTGAGAATTTTACATACACCCCATCACACCCTAGGGCTCTTCACTTATGTCTGCTAATTAACTAAACTGAAGTAAATATGCATTACTTCAACCTACTCCAAAAAAAAAGAACTTCTTTTTTTGTAAGTTTCGTTAATGAAGAATAATTCTTTTCCTACTGAAACGTGAAACTTTATTTTTAAAAAATATTCATTTATTAATTTTAAGTATCTCTTTCGAATTTCCGTCAATGATGGATAAAAAGTGAAATTAATCCCGGATGAGAAATAAAAAGCAAGTAAAATAAAAATAGATAAACGTGAGCCCTAGGTCAACGTGGCATTTGGAAGGATATACGACGTATAATATACACAGACATGGCAATAATCGTCTATAATTCCGCAACCTTCATTGGTAGGATACATTTCCGGAAGTTTGTCAAGTGATCGTTAAAGTTCAAAGCGCGTGGATATAGAGTCAACCTCATCTAAAGCACATATATGTGTAATACCTCAGGATTGTAACGTGGGTCTTATTGGCTTTGTGTTATCTCCGATGTTTAGACGGATTATCGAGAAAAGTCGTGAAGCCGTATCGATCTGGACGACGACCTCGTTAATAAGTTTAAGTACATCTCTATTCTTGTACTAATTTTTCAACGATTCATTTTAAGAATACTTTAACAATATTCCTTATCATTCTATTTTTACTCTAAAAATATTTAAACTATTCATTTAAATAAACTAAAAACCGAGAGAAAAATAATGAAATATTTCTAGTATATTTGAAAAATAAAAAGCATAAAACATTCAGACTCTCAATTCACCGTTAAACCAATATGATTCAATGAAAATGATAATAAAACAAATAATTGAACTCTCCACTTCCATTTTCAATCGAGTTTTATCGAGAAAAAATGATGTAAAATATACAGTAATCACAACCCTGAGAACACGATTGCATTTTTATGACAGATAAGTTATGTGTTGTGCTCCTTGCCCTGTTGATAATTTTCTCTGCAGCTGGTCAGCTCGAGATACTGAAGAGCAATGACATATATAAGTGTTATCGAATGCATCATAGAGGGATTCTGAATGAAAATTAATGCATAAATATGTAATAAAAAAAAATACGAATAACCAGTTAAATCTAGATTTTGAATTTCAGGAATAATTTTATCTTTACTAAATGATAGATTGTTTGTGGTTTTTTAAAATTAATGTGTCATTATAATCTCGCGGGAATTCAACTTGCATATATAGAGCATCCAATCTACTTGAAAATGACGGAAAGCTTCGTCAGAACATTTATTCATTACATGAGTCCATTGGGAATTTTATTAACGTTTCATATGCGTTGCCATGGAAACACTGTGGTTAATTTGTATCCACAAATTTTGTATATGCTGTCGTAAATTGAACAAATATCTAAAAATTTTTTAGAGATATTTTTGATTGAGTATTACTCTTAATTCGACCTAGAAATTTTTTTTTTCTACTACTTAGTAATAAAAATAAAATTAATTAAGGAACAAAAATTTTTCAAGAGGAATTTTTATGATTATTTTCAAGGCAAAATACGAAAAATATTCATTTTTTAAAGAAAAGAGTACTGTTGTGAGCTTTGAAAGCAGTTTTTAAAATTCATTAATATCTAAAAATATGGTCTTTTTATTGATTATTTATTGCAGTTGGCTCAATATTTAATGACCATTGAAATTTTTATAAAGACCTTAACATCGATACTTCATTGATGTAATTAACCACTAAATGTAAATCTATAATATTTAATTGATTACAGCTCGTTTAAATTTAATTCTCAATCCATTGTTACCATAACTAATAGTCTTTTAAACGGTACTGTTAATACTACGTTTGAAGGTTGTTGAAATCACGACTGTAATAAATACAACATTCATATTTATATTTATTTTCTTTCATTTTGATTACCAATGATCATTCATATTACATATATTAAATAAATTTTATCCAAAAAAATGTTTTCAACTCTTTCATGTTTTATTACCGTAATACCGTTCGTTGTGGATTTTTATTTAATCAGTTGCCAAAGTTTGGCGGTCGGTGACACTAAAAATGACCTTGTGCTTCAAGTAGTTCCACAACATGTTTAATTATAGAAAAGAGCAAAGACCAAAGACATGTAGATTTTTTTTTTTTTTTCACTTCCTCTTTTTATTTATTATTCCTAACATTATGCATTTACTAACTTTTCTCATGTCTAATAATAATATTAGATTTTTTTTAACGATTTTCCTTCAAATTAATCTAACAAAAAAAAAACAACTTATTTACTTGTTAAAAAAAAAAATATTATTGATTGGATTTTTTACTTTATATTTTTAGCTTTTCATTAGAGCATATTTGTTTTTATTTATTGTTTATCAAACAAATGAAGAAATAGATTTTTAAAATTATATTGATTTTAAGAATTAATTAAAAAATTTACATTTCAAAAAAAAGAATAACAACGTTTAAATGTTTATTATCAATTCTCAACTGAATTAATAGAGTTTAAAATTGATTGATTATTCAACGATCCTTGTGCTAATGCAGACGAAGAATGTATTTGTCCATAGACAAAGTAAATCCTTACGACAATCGATTGAGTTACGTCTTCACTGCGTTCATGGTTCATATAATGATGTTAATTCAAGACAATAGGAGTGTCTGGTATTGAATTGCAAAGATCTCCTTGACTCTGTCGCAAATATTACTTAGATGTCATTATTATGGATGTACAACTATTATTAAGGAGCACCTGGTAACCTTTTTAAAACACTATGAAAGGTAAAATCAACGCAACAATTTACTCTTTACAATTGAAATTAAAAAAGAGTATTTCACCAATATGACATATTGATGATTATCCCAGCATAAGATTGATCTCCATATAATTATATTGGAGCTTTCAATAATGAATGCTATTTCAACTTTACGTTGATACCTTTCATTATCTCAAATTTTTTTAAATATGAAATAGCAGTCTATTAGTGTCATTTCCCAACACTTCTGTATTTATTAAACTTAAATATGCGATTATAATAGTGTTGCTGTAACGGTCTGTTGACGTTCTTGGGTCTTTATCCTACTGACTGCAACACTGACTAATTCATACGTGAATTTAGAAAGTTCAACGGATAAAAGAGAGACTTATACTGCAAACCTAATTGTATGGACTTGTGTAACAGCTTCTCTTGCAGCTGCGAGAGAGTTCCGCGTGCATTTTCCGTAGCTGCGTCATTATGATTTTAAATGCAGGGAAAAGTCTAGAGAAATTTGTTTACTTAGTTTTCTTTCTATTTGAAGAAATATTCTTTTTACTCTTGAATTCATTACAAATGCAATAATCTGCTCTACAAACTCCAATAATGAACATCATTTTCATTCATGCTTTGATATTACTATTGATGAAAATTAGTACTTGCAATTTTTCTTTTAGAGGATGAATAATTTATATTCGAATTTTTTTTGTTTAATTAATTGAAGAGATTATATGATTATTTGTTTGCTCCAGGATAAATGGAATTGATAATTCAACTGAAATTCTACTGTTCAATTGCACATTTTGTAAATTACAATATTTGCTTGAAAAAAATATGTTCATTACAATTATTGCAAATAAATAAATTGTTTTTGATGTATTAGTTGATAATTTTTATACTTTTTTAAATACACATTGTCTGAAAATTTTTCTTCATTGTTTTTTCTAGTAAAAACTGGGTAATAATTACATGATTACGATTGTCAATTGTTTTTTAAGATAATTATAACAATTATTAAGTTAGTTAATTATTTTTCGCGTCAACAATAAACTGAAATGAGTATACTTTAGAAAGAAGAACACTATTAAAAAAATCCACTGACCTATTTCAGTTCAATTTCAATATTTTTACAAATATTTTTTTAACGAAAATTGAAACACAAAAGCAAAGAATACAACAGAGAAAATGATTCCAAATAATATGAATTATGTTTTCTTGTATTATTGTTGTCTTTAAAGTTTCTCAGATGGAAAAGTCATCTCCTTGAAACGTCATGATCGATCTGACATACATTCCTAGGTCTCTCCGTGACGGCTACAGGTAAATCGCGATGGTGGATTACGTAAACATGTTGGTTGCAGCAGCAATATGATAGATCATAGGCATAGTACTAACACTCAGGTGTGGTTTTACTTTTAAAGGCACTTGGTCTCAAAGATAATCGAAAGGTCTAGGGAATGATGTCGAATTGCCAAACATTTTTCATCACCAATCAAAGTCGATACTTATTTAAAACACGCCTTTTATGTTGCTATTAAATCTTTTATATACTCAACGATTATGGAAGTGATTAAAAATATTGCTTCATTGATTTTTATTTTTATCCTACAAGACAATGAAGCCAGTGATTATAATGACTTACCTCGTGCGCGGTTGAATTGCTTTTGCTTCTATTGCCATTGGACGTATTGTTAATTGTTGAAAGCGCAGTAAGGGTTGCAGAATCCCACTCCACTGACGGGTTTGCCGCTAACTTTCGTCCCGCCACCCCCCACATCCTTGTGAAGCGTTCCAGGACTCTAAAAAATTACAAAAAAAAATCTCTATTTAGTAAGTCAATCATATTTGTCACAGTTGAAATATTTTTTTTCAATAAAATACCTTTTTTTAATTTAAAAAATAATGCATTAAAAATATTTTAACACGATTATTTTGAAAATATTTATTTTATTGAATAAAAATAAAAAAGTTTGATTTAAAAAGGCCATACAGGAGATCCAAATGTTTTATAGCGATGATAAAAAATGTTTACGTAACAAAGTGATTTTAATAAAATACCTAATGTCTACATCTAATTTTTACAATAGCTAGCATAAAACATACACATGGTGCTTGACTTTAAATTGAATGACAAAGAAAAATTATCTACAAGCTTGTACACTGTACAATTACCGGCTATACCTCTTCGACTATGATATTAATTACACTACATGGGATATATATTTTTTTTTTTAATCATTCGGCTCTTGAAAATGATTATTACATAAGTGAATAAGTTTATGGTATACGCAAGTAACTCATTGATTAGTTATTGAAATATATATTGAATGATGTTGAGAAGATACCAGTTGATAAAAATAACTTTTTTAAGAATTAATTAAACTTAAAACCTTGGTCTTATTGAAGCACAGACATACGACGATTATATCACTGATAGTTGGATGAGTTTTCATGATGGATACTTATTATTTTTATTTATAGTTTTAAATGAAAGAGGTAATAATAATGTACACGCATTGGTCAAGTTGTAAAAGCACACTGATGCTCCATCGATGATACTACTTGGTTTATCTCAATGATTCAATATGTTTTCCTTCCAATGATCAGATATAAAGATTGATAAAATGTATTTCTAGAACTTTTGTTATCTTTTCTAAATTCAGAAGTGGTTCTTCTATTTCGATTTAATATTTGATTAAAAGCAGTTAGTTTTAATAGTAAAAAATGAATCATCATTAGATTGTTAAATAAATAAATTGAGATTAAGATTGAAATAATAATAAATGAATTTATCATTCAATTGAATAAATTAAAAAAAACTTTTATAAATTTTGTCAAATAAATAAATTAAAAAGAAGTCGGAAAATAAGATTTAATGGATGAATCAATCAAATGAATAAATTGAATAATAAAAAAAAAAATATAAGGGTTTTAAATTAAACCTTTAATTTTTATTTCTAAATATAGACACTGAGCTATTAACAGTTAAATAGAGGTCCTTTAAAAAAATAATTTCTCACGGTCGGTTCAAAATTTCAGGTCAGACTCCCCCTGACATTAAAAAATCAAATATTTTTTTTAACTAGACAACTGTCACTTTAGTGAGGCGTTACTATTTTTTCTATTTTAGTGTTTGACAAGATCGAGTGCTTCAAAACTCTAAATTTAAAAATAGGATTTTTCAAATGCATCAATGTGTATTCTCCTCCTCCTCCTCTTCTTCAACAACTTTGTATAAATGACTTTTTCTTATGTATTACATTACATTAATGTACATTTAATTGAGTTATAAAATTAAATGGCGAATAAGGAAGAATAAAAAGCAAAGGTTTTTAATCGTCAGAATGACATTCGGGTCAGTTGACAGAAGCTGATATGGCTTGGATGTGAGTGAAGTGAACCGTTAGTTTATCAAGCTTTCTATCCATGAAGGAATTATAGTGACACTGGGTGATATTGATTAAATCCAACAGGTAAAAACTTTGAACTCTAATAAACAATCAACAAAACTGTTGATTCAGACGATTATCATCAGATTAATCAATTAATTAATTATTTCTTTTATTTACTTTTTTCATGTTGATATTTCTCAACACACACAAAACATGAAATAAATGTCCTTGAAGTATCTCTTTAATCTAGGAAGCGGTCACTACAATAAACCGTTCAAAAGAAAAATGAATGATGAAATAAGATTGGAGGTAAAAAAGATTCAAGTTGATTAATATTCTTTTCACTAAAATCTGAAATGTAAACCTAATTCATGGACACAATAAATCAAATAAAAGATTTTTTAAAAGTGTTTCCTTTGCGCAACAACACAAGGTAGGAAAATTTTGAAGGTTAGATATTAGCAACGAGTTCAAGTTACCACCAACCAACATGGACACATGAAAAAGAGAAGGAAGAGGAAGAGATAAAGATAAAAAGAAAACTTGTTTACCCTGAGTACTCACGACAGCTGTAGGCCAAGATCAAAACTCTCAGTCTCCCGAGACACGAAAGTAGCGAAAAAAAACTTCTAAGACTTCACAAGCCTATACTATCATTAGCACAACTTTTATTTGCTTCATACCCACCTACATTGCCATTTCAACTGATTTGTTTAAACCCATTAATAATATTGGACACCTGGTATATACATATTTAATGACAGGTGATGATGGAGATTTTGCTAAAAATCACTGCTGCAATACATATTAAGCAAAGGGAAATTTTGTTTCTTTTATATCTCGAAGGGTAAAGGCTATACTAAGTCAGCAGATGTAGTGGACACCTGCCAACCTGCAGCACAGAATAAAAAGAAACAAAATCATAATAATGCGAACAACGCAAAAACGACGTATACCTCCACTAGCCTATCGACAGCTGCAGGCTGCTCAAGATTTTCATTTTATTCACTATTATTTTTGAGAGAAAAAAATCTTTAGTGAGATCGAATTATTCTTTTTCTTTTTCAAATGAAATTGATATTCAACACCTGCTGGGTTCAAGATTTTTCTACCATATGTTACTGAAGAAAAAGAAACTTTGAAAAATCATTAAACATGAACAAAAAAAAATCATTTAATGCTGCTAATTAATTATCTGCAAAAATTGAACTTCAATGAAGAGAAAAAAATAATCCATAATATGATACTTGACACTCACTTAGTAAGAGATTGAAACAGAGCTGATATAATATATAAAACCAATTAAGAAAGCTTGTTAATTGCTAATTATTATGAGTAATATTTAATTAAAAGCTCAACGTTATGTTTTTGTTATGTGTAATGTCATGAATTGCAAATATCTATGACATTAGACATGATAAAAAAGAGAAATTGGAATTCATTTCGTCAATCACCATCACACAAGAGATATATCTATGAGAGGAGTGGCCTTGTAATTACACGCGGAAGCCTCTCACATTTCTCTGTTGCATTTTATGCATTGGAAAAAATCGAGGACGCATCTAAGCACTTGGTTAGTGACCTTACGAGTCAATTTTTATCTGATTCAACACCCAGATATATAAATCTCTGTCGTCTTTGTTTCATTTCATGCGATATGGGCTTCTCTGCTTACTGTTAAAACCTGATTGTGTTCATTGGTTAAACCAAACCTGTGGAGTATCCAAGATAAGGTTCATTTAAAAGGAGGTTATCAAACGTCAATTAACAAACACACTAATATAAACTAGAACAGGTCGATACTTGTTAATACAAGACATGGTCTGAGACAATAAGCAACAAGGGGTTAGCACAAACCAGTTGGGCAAATTAGCAGACAATGAAAACTGTAGGAAAAGTTGTCCATATGTAGGCCATCACACCATTTCATTCTTATCTATTATGATATGTCAACGATATTGCATCTTTTTTTTTCTCCATCTCACAACTCATATTTGTTGACTTTCTGAACTCTTGGAACTCGTCCAGCTACAATTACCAACATATGGCTTTATCTTGTATCTCATATTGTGTCAGTAGTAAGTTCTAAGTAATCTTGTGGTTTGTCTTTTATGATAGATAAATATGGCATATAGATACTAGGATATATATTTAACAGTTAAGTTATTTCACATCCAGGCCGAGGGAATTGACTTGACTAATTTGGAGGATCTATTGTCTCACGTGGGAAAATGTAGAGAAACTGTTTAAGTAATATTACGTGAACGTTAATTATTTATTCGCAACCTCGGCCTTCATCTAATTCATCAAGAATCGGAAAAAATGTGTAGGTTTGTTTTTACGTCTTCTAGTATTTTTTTCTAGTATTTCTAGAGTGATGAGTCATTATTAATTAGTAATGTTGATTGTTTTCTTAGCAAAATTATGACAAGTTTATTACTGTGATCTAGACATTTATAGGGCAAGGTATGAATCATTAAACAATTGTTAATGATTGGCTATTTTTTTCTATTATTATAGAAAAAATTAATTGAAGATGTTGATTGATGGTTTGTGGTGATGATGGTGGTTGAAAGTTTGGCAAGTGAGGGTGTAATTTTGGTCGCATAACTTTAATGAATTGAGGTAGGTAGGCAATGTGGTCTACATAGGTTGGTTAAGTTGAAGCTTTATTTACAGGTGTACAAACAATATGGAGCGTTTCACAATTCGCAAATGGCTTGAGAGTTTAACTGTCCAACGCTAATGCGTCCAACGGTTTCTCCGATCGATGTGCACCGCTCTAATTGGCGCTCGTGAAAACGAATCCGAATGAGCAGGGCAACAAGAGAGTATACACAGTAATATCATGTGTGAGACCCCAATTTGATGTTGATATATTTTCACTTCTTTTTTTTTTTTTTATTTATCGTGCGATGATTTTTACACTTTCCTCTACGTTGATTATTTATTATCATAAGGATTTAGATTGATGGATGTTGAAAAGTAATGTGTATTTAAGAGGGATAAATTTATTTTGCTAACACTTTTAAAGTGATTCAGTTGAATGAACTCAATTTCAAGTATTGCTAATTTATTCAGAACTAGATAGTTCATTTAGTAGATAGATTTCATTTTTAATCTTGGAAGATTATAAAAAATAATAATTGTTATAAAATAATGCAAAACATGGTGTTTCTAATAGAAATATCAAGTTTACTAATTCATAAAATAGTTATCTATTAGTTGGGAAAGTAATCAAAACCTGAGCACTTGATTAAGAAACTAAGATCGTTAATCTAAGAGACAAACGATAATTACTATATGAGTCGAAGGATATTTACGTCAGAAACCATCAGGGACAAAGTCATGGTTGACTCTACAACGGGGTCGAGTTATTCGAGAAGAGCACTATACGAAGAAGTAGA